GAAGGTAGAATCTACACCGAGTAGTATTTAATCTGTCTGGGCAGGGCTGATGAAAGGAGATGGGATAGGACTCTTGTGGTTCAAAAGTGAGTAATTGCTATCAGGGCTCAATCGATTGAGAGTTGGAAATGCAAAGGTAGACATTTGTAGCAAAAGTAAGGGAGTGGTTGAGTTTGCAGTCCAGGAGTGGAGGTCCCTGGGACCATCAAGGGAGAACGGAGTGTGGGACCATACCCAGAGTGACATCAGAGATGGAGGCAGAGAGGATGACATGGAGAGATGGAGTGGCTGGGGACTCTAGACCCAGGGAAGGAGAGAGGCTGTGTGCTGCTGATGACTGAGGGGCAGGCTTGCGGGGTATACCTTATGGTTGATTGATAATGCATGGAGGGGATTGTAATGGCAATGAAACGATATATGATAGGATGAATGTAAAGCTAATGTTCTCCTATGTAAACTATCACATAATTCACAATAAAAACTAGAAAAAACAGCCTGGGATGAAGGACCCTGCTTCTGGTAAACAAAATGGCATTGCATCTGCCCCTAAGTGGCACCGAGTAAAGTCCTACTTTAGCTTCTGGTCTCCTGAAAGCTTAAGTCTTTATTACACCAAGAGACCCTTCCCCGGTGGTTTCAGGAAAATCTCTGTAACTCCGCCCATTGGAAGCCCTCCAGGACTGTACTTGAGAAGCACCACCTTAAACACACCAGTCTGTAAGGGACTTTTGAGTTCACTCTCCCAGGTTTACTTAAATCTCAATAAACCTGCCTGCTGTTGAAGCCACATTTCTCTCGTCTCTTGCTTTATTTCTTACAGATACCATTTATTTGGAATGCTCCGGTGTTTGATGAAGTGCTTCCATTTGGCCAGAGTCGGTTGAAGTACTTCTTGGCTTTCTTGTACTTGTACTTCATGGTATATGTGTGTGAGCAGCAAGGTGGGCAGCGGCAGCAGAGGTGGATGCTGCAAGGAGTGTAGAGGTGCATCCCAGCTCAGGGTGGAGGGCCAAACAATTGAAAACACAGCCTCACTGTGGTGCAACACTCGAGCTATTATTTGTTTTTGGTTAATTTCCCCTACCACTGACCTGGTGTGGCACTGTGGGTTACTGTGCTGAACTGTAAATTTATTTTGAACCGCAAGGTTGGTGGTTCATACTCACCAGCTGCTCCTTGGAAACCCTATACAGGGTCGCTGTAAGTCAGAACCAACTTGATGGCACTTACCAACAACTTAACAACTCACTGATCATAGGAACACTGGTGGTACGGTGGGTTAAGCATTGGGCTGCTAACTAAAAGGTCAGCAGTTTGAATCTCCAAGCCACTCTGGGAGAGAAGGATGAGGCTGCCTGCTCGCGTAAAGACTTAGTCTTGGAAAACCTACAGAGTAGTTCTACCTTGCTCTATAGGGTTGCTATGAGTTTGGACAAATAACTTGTTGGCAATGGGTTTGTTTGTCTTCCTCTTGCTGAACAACACCCCACTCCCACCAATCCCTCTGCAAATCAGTTGTTGTTGTTATGTGCCATCGAGTCGTTCCGACCCATAGCGACCCTGTATAGGGTTTCCGAGGGTGTAAATCTTTACGGGAGTAGAAAGCCTCATCTTTCTCCCGCGGAGCACCTGGTAGTTTCGAACCGCTGACCTTAAGGTTCGCAGCCGATTCGTAACCATTACGCTACCAGAGCTGCAAATCAGTATTACCCCATTTTTCAGGGCTTTCTTCTAACTTCACATCTGTTTATCCCTGACCAGTCTCAGGGTGATGACACACACATATTAATGAATGGCAGGAGGGGATTTGTTCTAGTTTCTTTTCCTAAACCATATCGCCCTTTTACCCTCTAGTTTCACAACCCTGGGGAGGGGGTAGGAGCAGCTTTCTACCCCATTCCATAGTACAGCCCTCCCAGACCCAGAGGACTGCCCCAGTTTGGTTTGGCTGCACACAGAGAACAAAGTGGACCTAAATAGTCATGACAGGAGCTTTCCTGGGGCCTGGGAGTAGCAGATACTTAGACCTCCTCTATTTCCACCCTTGTGGGGTCATAAGCACCTTGAAGGCATTGCACCAATGTGTGTCTGTTGTCTTGGAAAGATGCCTGAAGGCACAGTCCCCAGGCCTGCTACAGCAAAGTGCAGCAAGCAGTTTAGCCTTGTGGACCAAGTGCAGTTGGGAGGCTGTGAGGTCAGGGGATGGGTGCTCCCAGTCCTGGCTGATCCAGGGGGGACTTCAAATCTAATGGTGTCCCGATGGTGCTGATGAAGGAGGCTGGGACCCAGATCTTGGGGACTAGAGCACAGACTAGAAGTCTGTGTTCTGCTCCCTCTCCCCAATGAACTAGCAGACACCAAGCACTTCACAGTGTAAATTCAACCACTGCCGCCTGCCTCAATCTGATGAAGCTTCTTGTTGATCTTTGTGTCCCTGTATTTATATGGCCCACAAACCATGACAGAGCATGAGGAAGACATGCAAGATGTAGACTTTTCAGCTTTTATTAAAAAAACAAACAAACATGATCCCAATTAATTTTCCAATAAAAGTCACCAACGCAAAATTTAATTTGGTCAGGGCCTTTCCATCTGGAGAATAGGGCTTAGATAGGAGCAGGGTCCTCTCAGATCACCTAACATTTCATCCTCTCCAGCTGAACACCTAACATCTGTATGAGTTGCTCACTGGGCCTCGTTGAAGCGGGTCACCATTGTCTTGTGCAGTGTTTCTTTGTAAGACTCAGTTGAGGTGACCCCATAGGAGCTACCCCGGGCACCTAGGCCAGAGCCCCGCACCCGTGTCTGGGCCTGTGTGAAAGACGCAGGTTGTCAGGTTGGCTGGGGAGTGGGGGAGGAGAATGGGGACAAGATGGGGATGCAATGGGCATGGGGAATGCTTGGGGGATGGGCAAAAAAAGGATGGAATACTTACCTCAATGGGTGTTATAATGCCCTGCTTTTTGCGGCCAAGGCCACTGCCCTCTTTCCAGCCCATGGCCTGGAGCATGCGGCTGCCAATGTTGTCACTACCCAGCCCGTCCCGTGTAGGCTGCTCGAAGTCCCTAAAGGGGACAGAGGTACAATTTGAGTGATCAACTTGGCAGCCCCCAAGCCCTCTCGCTTGGCCCTGGACACTTACACAGAGGCTGCAGACATGCCACCGTACTTCCTCCTCTTAGGTTCTGGTGGCTCAGGGATACCATACTTCTCCCTGCGTTCAGCTGCACGGTCCCGGTACTTCATTTGCTGAAAGTATGTGTATGTGCATGAATGGTGGGGAATGCTGGAAACATAGACATGGGTAGCTGGGGCAAGACCTGCTGAGCCCATGAAAAACTCAGTGTGGATGAGAAGTCCCAGGACCCAAGGGACAAGACACAGCGGGAACAAGCAGCCAGGGTAGGAGAATTTGGAAAGAGCTTTACAGGGATAGTAGGTGTATCCATCTTGAACTGCAGCTACCTGCAGGAATGGGGATAGAGAGGATGGAGTGCGGGAATGGGCCATGCCTCACCTCCATGTCATTCTTCTCTAGTGCTTCCAGTTCGTTTTCTGACAGGTGGGCTCGTCGGTGAATCTCAAGGTTTTGCTGCCAAGCAGAAAGAGAGTTAAGCTGCTGGGCTGGGGTGTGTCTCAGGCTTCAGGAGTCCCCGTCTCCCTTCCACCCCTCAGTCACCTTGTGGAGCCCGGAGAGCTGCTGGTGCCGGATGAGGGCTTCCTTGCTGGGAAACTGACGTCGACAGAGTAAGCAGGCTAGCTTCTGCCAGTCGGTGAGCTTTTCCTCCCGCTCAGTGGCCCCTCGCTCCTGTTCCTCCTCGCTGTCACTCTCCCCACTGTAGGCTGCCACTAACCCACGTGGTGGGCTCTGTAGAAGGTGAAGATGGGAGGTGGTGGTGGTCAGGCCTGACGGGATTTGAATTCCCACCCCTTTTTCTGTCCCTGGGTACTCACTGGGCGGTCATCACTGGCCAATTTGGGGAGGTCCATGCTGGTGTGCTGCCTCTCAGCTAGTGCTCCCTGCAGTGAAGAGAAACAGAAATTCAGTCTCTAGAGAGGGACTAGAAAAATACCAAAACTGGGGAGGGGTGCAGATGGATGGCCACAACACACCTTCTTCTCAAGAATGGCATAGCCGGCATCTGCAGTGGCTGACTCTCGCCTTTCATCGTCTCTCAGGGAGCTGATGGGCTGGAAGCTGTTTTTAAAGTTTTCCTTTTGCTTGTTGAGACTGCGGGCCCAGCGTTCCATGTCCTTGGCAATCTGAGAGTAAGGGTGAAAGTGAGGGCTAGGCACTTGGAGCTCAGCTCTCCAGACCAAGGAACCCTCATTACTGTGAGTTTAGCAGTCTACCTATCCTACCCTCTAGCCCCAGGCTCAGCCCCAACTACCTCCACATCTCTCTAGCCTGAACTACTGCCAGTAGACTTCACTTGGTCTCGAAACTACCACTCTTGACCCTTTCACACAGTAAAACTTTCTTTTAACCACCCCCCTCCCCACCAACCCTTGCTTCCTTAAACCCTCCCAAACACATGACCACAGCTTCCAAGCTGAACACCTCAACTCTTCACAACCCCAGCCCCCTGCCAACGCCCCCTGGTTTGCCATGACAAGGCAGAGCAGTGTGAGTAGAGTGTAGGGTCCTCTGAGTAGCAGACAAGGGTAGGTTGAGAGAGAATACATAAAAGTGAGCGAGGTGGTAATGAAAATTCCTATTTCGGCCCTTATCATCACTGCTCCTCATCAAGACCCTTCTGTGCTGCTTCCATTCCCAACAGGCACCCACTCTCGTGTGTTTCATTTTATTGTCCTATAATATATAGAATTTTATTTTACCTATGTATAAATTTAAATTACATATTACACATTCCATATTCTGTTTATTACCCAAAACCCCAACACCATTTTTAGAATTTACCAAGTTATTGAGTGAACACTTAGTACTTTCTTCTAAAAGTTGCACGCAGACTATTGTACCCTTTCTCCAGATAAAGAAACTGAGGTTCCCTCTAGCTACCCACTACCACAAAACACTGCGATGACTAGTTTCCTTTCTACCCACTATGGGCCCATGAGAATTTTTCTGAGATGTGAGCACGTACACAAACACACAGGGTTTCTGAATTAAAAGGAATAAAGTAGTTTGCACACATTGATGAATTTTTACAGGCAAGGCTAGCCTGGAGTCAGGCATGACCACATCAGTTCATACTCCCACTAGCAGAGTGTGAGGGTCCCCCCACTGGGGAGGGGGGATGACAAAAAAGCTGTGAAGACATGCTTGGATGGCACAGGGGCATTTCAGGATGGTGGGGAGCCCTGCCATGTACTAAGGAGGTGGCCTTGGTTCAGGTCACATAGGAGTCATGGCTTTTTGACCACCACCCTCAGCAGTCGAAGGTAATCCATGACAGAATGCAGTTACCGGAAGGTATCCAACAATCAGCCAGTGACTGCTGAACTGCCACAGTATTCACCTGTTGGGCTGTCTTGGTCTTGTGCTTCTCCTTCTTTTCTTTGCCCTCCTTTGAGGGTGCCCCTGTCTCTTTATGTCCATCGGCTGACTGCTCCAAGGCAGGTACGTAGGTCCGCCTTTCCCCATCCCAGTATAGGTACTGCTGACTTTGAGCATTATAGTAATACTGGGGGTAGGAAAAGGGAAATATGAAGACAGATAAAAAAGAGGAGTTGCAGGGCCAGGTATCATCCAATCTAACCCCACTTCCTGGGCTGCCCTAGATCACCTGGGAGTTTGGGTCATAGTAGAGGCCAGTCTGTGGATCATAGTAGTATCCAGATGTCTCATCATATTGGTAAGTGGAGACATCAGGGACAGCTGGAGATAAAGAGAAGTAAGAGTGTGTGTGTGTGTGTGTGTGTGTGTGTGTGTAGGTGTCATATTCCTCTCTGCTTTGTAAGAACTGCCCACCCCGCCCCACAGGCCATGGCTACTCACGGTACTGGCTGTAGGACTCCTGGGCAGTGGGGCTGGTGGCTGGTGGTAGGGTAGAGCTGGGATGGCTGGGACTCTGGAGCTCAGATTTGAGCACAGCGGGTGACATGATGGTATATGACTGGTTATGAGGCCAAACAGGGAAATGGGGCTCAGTGTCTGCCAATGCCACACCTGCCCACCCAGGATACCCCTAGAGTTCACTCACCTGGCTGTTGGCAGCAGTACCCTGGCTGCTACTCGCCTCAGCTGCTGATTGTTGATAGATGCCAGGGGTAGCACCAGGCTGGGTGCGAGAGAAAGCCTGCAGGGACACAGCATCTGCCCCAGGTTCTAAGGAAGTTTCAGGACCTTAAGAGGTATGAAGAGAGAATATCTGTGAATAGTGGGGCCCAAGACCTTATGCCTGCTGGCCCCTACCACAGGCTTGTGGGGAGATGCTGGGGGGCGGGGCTCACCTGTTCCAGCTGGGTCCCCTTTGGTTCCAGTGATGCCGGGGCCCTTGGTGCCCTTGAGGTAGCCATGGGCATAGAGGGAGGACTCTGTGCCCTGGCTGCCGCCATAGCCCTCATCCTGTTGGTAGTAGCTGTAGTCGACCGCTGGCTCCTCGGGGGTGGCCCAGGCACCCTCCCCACCCTGGGAGGCCTGAGGGTGGCAGGTAGGAGGGGCTCATTAGAACAAGAAGAGGAGCAGGGGGGATAGGGACTTGATAAGGAATACTGGTCCTACAGGTTAGGTCAGGGTCTGTCTGACAGAAGAACATGCAGCCCTCAGACTGCCTGGCAACAGCAGAACAAGGCAGTGGTAAATGCCAAGACTGATGAAAAGATGGATGCCAGAATTCTCCCAGGGCTGATCACTGGCATGTGTGCGAAATGTGTTGGGTGTCAGACCAAACAAGTTACCAGCCTCCTACTTTTGTTTTCACTTCCCCAATTGTCTTTCAGCCACTCATACTTTTCTTTTTATTAAAGAAGTTGGAACAACTCAAGGCAATTGGAAATAGCCTGGGAGCCAGTGATGGACAAAGGAGCTTAGAAGAACGTAGCATGAGCCCCTAAGCCCATGCCAGCTACTTTCAGGTACAGACAGTGAGTCTGTGTAGAGCGTTTGTATAGAGTGGTGGAGGACTGAGGTCCAGGTTTTAGGACACTGGGGCTGGGGAAGTGGGGGAGGGAGTCTCAGTACCTGTGAGATGGCCCACTGGGCTGCAGCAATGGCAGTGCTGGCCACAGAGGCAGCATTGATACGACTGCCTTCGTTAGAGGCCATGTCCCTGGGGAGAATATTAAGAGACTCGGGGTGAGAGGTGGGAGGCCTTGAGGATGGATGTCCCAAGCTGAGGGTCAAGAAAGGAAGGGACATGGGTGGGACCCTGACCTCTTAGAACCCTTGGCAAACTCAACGTTAATGGTCTTGCCATCAATGGTGAGCGGTGGGTGCAAGGCCTGCAGTATCTGTAGCAGCTGGGCTGCCTCCTGTGGGGAAGAGGATAGGTAGGGGCAGAAAGGTCAGGCCCGGGGAAGCCCCCGGCTCTATTGCCCTATATCCAGGCTTGGGGCCGCGGTGGGGGACTGGGGCAAGGGTGTCTCCTCCCCAACCCAGAGGGACCTCCCAGCCACCCGGGGGGCCGGGACCCTGGCTGCCCGGCCCCCCCCCTGTGCCGCCCTCACCACGATGGTGGAGAGCTGGATGAAGGCAAAGCCACGGTTCAACTGGGTCTGCTTGTCCTTGATGACGCGTACATTGGAGGAGGACAACACCGCATAGGGTGCTAAGGCCCCAAGGATGGAGTCCATGGTGCTATGCGGATTCAGGTTGCGCAAAATGATAGCTACAGGAAAGAGCCCAGCATTAGGAGGCACCCTTGATATTCGGCTCCCCACTGTTCTCTGGCCTATATCTTTTCTTCCTTTCACCTCTCCCTCCTGGATAAACTGTATGTGATTCTAAATTCCAACTCAACCACTCATCTGCTGAAAACCATCCCAATACACCCCAAAGGCAGACTGAGCAATGTTCTTCCTTCTGTTCTCCCTGTATCACATGTCTGTCCTCCTACCAGGCAGAAACCTCTGTGAGGCCCGAGTCCTGGTCACCACCATTTCTATGGGATTGCAGAGCCCAGCTCAGACAGCCGAGGGCAGAGAAAGGAGGAACAACTGACTCACTGTCATTGGCATTCTCCGAGCTTGGCTCTGAGCCCTGTGATAGGGCTTGAGAAGCCAACACTCCCTGAGCCTGGTAGGGTTGTGGCAGAGGAAGCAGACCCTGGCTTAGCTCCCGTCCACCCAGTGGCAGCGTCTGTTGATCCAGCCTTGTGCCGAGAGGTAGCTTCTGTTCTGCCTCTGTCAAGGGTGGCAAAGGAGAAGCAAGTGACAAAAGGGGAGGATTCCACAGCTACTCACCCTCCTATAACCCTTGAGCACTGGTTCCTCATCCTTCTTCCACCCACCAACGTCCCTGAGAATGGGGTAGAGGTAGGAGGGCCTCACCTGACTTGGGCACACCACATTTGAAGCACTTCTCACGTCGTTTGAAGTTCTGGACTCCACACTGTGAGGCACAGGCCAGATCATGAGAGGAGGTAGGGCTTTCCAGTGTACCCTCCAAACTTGGATCCACAGACCACCACCCCCGAGACGCCACAATGCTCCAGAAAGGAGGTTCCAGGGCGGGGGTGTGTGTGTGTGTCCAAGACTTTTGCTGGTATTTTAAGTTTTGTGAATTTCCTCTTAACATGGTCTCAAATTTGGCCCCAGTGTCACACCCTCAACTTAAGAATCAACAGCTCACCTACCCCCATTACAACTACCTCCTCCCCACTCAGGGGGTACCAACTCCCAGAGATGCCCCTCCCTGAATCCCTTTAGTAGATCTCCTCTATCCAAAATTTGCTTCCTTATTTAGAAACCTTCCATATTTCTGTCCCTAGAACCTGGTTCCTCTTTCCAAACGTATACCCCTTAATTATCTTCAGGATTGATTCTGCTACTTTTGCAAAATTTTCCTTGGATATTCCAGCCCGTAGAGAGCCATGAGCTTCCGCCACACTTATTTCTGTTCCACAGCCAGGCACCGAGCACTGATTCTGTGTCCTCAGGCCCTGCCCCATGTGCCAAGGATGTGGCCTCTGCCCTCAAGGCTTAAGAGTAAGCAGGCAGATGTAGCCTAAAGGGGGACAAGTCAGTCTGTATGGATTGTTCATCACCAGGATGCTCAAGGAGGGGAGCGGGATTGCCGCTACATTGGTGACAGTCCAAAAGGACGGCACAGAAGTAGGGACATTTGATTTGGGACGTCCAGAAGTTATTTGTTTGTTTTTGCTGGGAAGGGATTTCTAGCAGAGGGAACAGCAGATTTTTCATTGCTGGTGTAGGAGATTAAAGGAAAAGGCAAAAGCTAAGGCTAGAGAGAGAAGATGATGCTAGTATGGAGGACCATCACTTCCAAATTCAGAGTTGCAGGCGTTTTAAGCAGAGGGAAGGTTGTGCTCAGAGCTGGTTTTTAGGAATGTTACAGTGAAAGGGCAGGAAGCCAGCATACCAGAGAGGGGTCCATGGCGATTGTGTGGGTGAGAGGGCATGAGGATTGACACGAACAGCAGAAATGGCAAGGGAGGAAAAGTGGTAATTCTGTGATGGAAGCAACAGGACCTGGTGACCAACAGGATGCAGGGGATAAAGGAGGGGAAGGAGGTGAAGATAAGTCCCTGGGTTCGAGGAGTATCTGAAAACAGGAGGGATGGTGTTCTGCTATTACTTTTCCCCTACAGAAACAGATGGCACTTCCCTGTACTAGACAGACTACTTCTTAGGGAATGAGTCAGGGCTGCCACAACTTCTCAGTCTCCCCTGTAGGTGGCTACAGGAGGGTAGGGCTATCAAACCACAAGGCTGCTGAGTTTCAGGTTCTTTGTGAAGCTGGCCCCCAGGGGGGCCTAGGGTAGACCTGAACCCATGACATCCATGGCCCCTTTGGTTCACCCACAGCCCCACCCCTTGGAGCCTTAGTCTCCTCCTATGTAATAAGGAATGATTCAAACCCTACAACATTCTTCAGCTCTTGGTTTAGTCAGAGTGGTCTTCTAGGCTGGATCACTTAATATGACTCTTATACACCCTGTGCTTTTCTTTTCTTTTCCAATTAACCATGTCATCTGTAAGGCAGGTGCTGTTCTAAGTATTGTTGTTGTGTGCTGTGGAGTCAGTTCCGACTCATAGCGACCCTACACAGGGTTTCCGAGGCTGTAAATCTTTACGGGAGCAGACTGCCTCATCTTTCTCCCGCGGAACCGCTGGTAGTTTTGAACTGTTGACCTTGTGGCTCGCAGCCCGATTCATAACCATTACACTACCAAAACAACATATATTAGTCCTAAACACCTTTTGGGAGAGGTCTAATGATTAGTCTCTTAAGAGATGGAGAATGTCAGGCAAAGTGAGTTAAATATCCTGAGGAAAACTGCTGACATCCAGGATATTTCTAATCTCAGTCAGTTGGCTCTAAAGCTCACATTCTACATACCAGGTGTATACCTATACTTGACTAATCTGTCATGTAAATATTTGTTTAAAGTCTACTGGGACTCCAGACAAGATTGTCTTTCACGAGGGCAGTGGGTGGATGGGTGGGTGAGTGGACAGATGGTTACACGGATGGATGGATGGACAGATGGCCAGGAACAGTAGTACTTGAGTTGAGCCAGTGCTCAACACCCACACCCCTCCCAGACAGATCGAGACGTCGCCAAGTTGCTGCTGTTGCTATCCATGGCAAGTGCTGCTTGTCGCCCTGTACCTTATTACACAGCCAGTCCTCATTGATCTTGGGTTTGGGGTCGCTGTAGTGCATGGACACCTTCTGGCCCAGGATGTTGAGGGAGTGCTGTGGGCAAAAGTAGACTACAGTGAGGCCCAGGCAGCAGTGCCCCACGCACCGTTTCAGCACAGGAGAAGAGAGTGAGCGAGCCCTTCAGCTGGATGGATGAGGGACAGGGAACGGAGGGAGGTCGGAGAACTGACGGAGGGAAGAAGGGAAGGAGGGAGGGAGGGAAAGCGCCACAGCTCTCGGGCGCAGCTGTTTGCTGCTTTTCCGGGCACACGGACGCACACATGTGAACACACACCACCAGGCACACAGTGCTCAGGCTAACCGATACTTGTCAAGACAGTGGGGAAAATCCCCACTTGGCCCTGACACTGCCAGGCCACACCCAGGGCCAGCACTACACAGGCTACACTGTGGGATGAGGGGATGGGAAGGAGGGAGAGAGAAAGAGAGAAAGCGCACCCGCACTAGTGCTGGAGGAGGGGAAAAAGAAAGAGCCATGTTTGAAGGACCAAAGTTCCTGCCATGAGGCTGTCTTCCCATGGATAGCTGGGGCCTGGGCCCATTGTCCTAGCCTACTGATCCCACAGAGATGGCCCAGGGCTGCTCCTGTGGGCATTGTCCCATTTCATCACACCTGTCCCTATGCCCTTGCCCTCCCCAAGTGCTTCCTTCCCTGAAGCTTTTCTTCAGTGCCCTACACCAGTGATCTTGGCTGGTGATAGGTGGCCAGAACAGATCCTTGGGTCGCTGAAGGTCCCAAAGCTGCTGGGTAGAGATTCTGTGCTGGAATGGGGAGCAGGCTCCCTTCCTTACTGGCTCTGCATAGCTCCTTGATGAGAAGACATGGGTTTACCTGAGGTGGCTCCTGTGGGTGGGTAGGTGTGATGGGAAGGATGGGGCAACCGAATTGAGTCCAGGGCATGAACATACACTGTCACACTTGATTGGTGCTTTAGACCAACACAGAAGTGCTATCCTTTTGCATGACAAAAGGCCAAATTAACATGCAGGGAGAGAGCTAACACAATGGAGCTTACTAGTTAGTGTGTCAACAGCTAAGCTCCACAGTTGTTGGATTTCCAGCCATGCCTGAGAGTGGAACAAAGTCCTCCTTCTGGTTAATGCTAGAGCAGGGTGGTACCTCAGACACACACCCAGGCCCCAGGCTGGACAGACCTCAATCCCTGAGGACTGGGAACCTAAGTGGAAGAGCCCACCCTGGCAGCTCTTTCTCTGAAGGCGCAGCCAGGAGAAGTAGAGGGGTAGAGCTAGTGCCTGGTGGTAGGAAGGGGCCAATGGTGAGCATGGGTTCTTGATGGGAAGCCCAGTGGGGTAGCGAGAGGTGGGAAGAGGAGATAGTGAGGGTCAGGAAGGGGAAAGAGAGAGGGGCTGGGGGGGGACACGGGGCCACAGGGCAGGGAACTGTGTCCATAAGAACCAGGCGATGGGGAGCGCTCGATTACAAAGTAGTATTTGTTTGGGGGGGGGTTCAAGTGCGGCAAAGCAACCTGATTGGCTTCCATCCATCGTGTAGCGTCCTGCAAGTGACTAAACTCGACGAAGGCGAAGCCCCGGCTCTGACCTGGAGACAGCATTCAGATACAGACGCAGTGGGTTAGTCAACAGCTTTGGACACACGGCGTTCCCGGGGGCGGGACCCGAGGGGAGAGGACCAGGGGGGCAGAGAGGAAAGGGGGAACAGGAAAAAGGGAGAGAGAATCAATCAAAGAGAGAAAAACTAGGGAGGTGGAAGGCAAGGTAGATGGCTGAGAAAGGCAGGAAAGAGAGAAGGGGGAGGAGGCAGAAAAACAGAACAGGAGAGGCCAGAGTATAAGGCAGAGGAAGAGACACACACACCAACTGGGAAGGCACAGAGAGAGGGCTCAGGCAGACCTACCTGGCCAGCCTGAGGTGACACTGACAGAGAGAATAAGTTGGGAGGGAAAGACTACAAGTATAGGTCTGTCTCTAGAGAAGGAAGGAGAGAGGAAGGTGGGAAGGCTGCTGGCTCCCCATGGGCTAGAATAAATAACTCAAGGGCAGGGCCCACACAAAACCAGAGGTGCCCAGGAAGGGCCCTGAGACAGGTATTTAATCAAAGAAGGAAAAGAGGCGCTGGGCTTGTGAGGCTAGGAAGGCTCTAGACCCATCAGGAACTAGGGGAAATTAGGGACACAACCTAAATCTCAGCTTCCATACAGTACACAGGAAGTAGGCCTCAGGAGGGAGGGAGCAACCTCAAGGCCAAGTTGGGAAGATTACAATCACAAACAGCCCAGATCTTCCTGGATACAGGGAAAATGGGGGCCAGGACTGGTCAGGAGGATCTTAAGAGCAAGAATCAGTGGATGCTGGGTGAAATGTCCAGTGTCATAGAGGGAATTAAAGCTGGGAAATCTATCTCCTTGAGGAAGGGAGACCTAGAATGTCAGCATGAGGTTGAGCTGAGGTGAAACAGAGTAAGACCTACATGCTACCAAGAGTCTGGTCAGGGTTAGGAAAGGGATTCAGGACTTGAGGCCTCAGGAAGCATCTCTTCCTTTAGAGGTGGATACACAAGGAAAACTTAGATATGGTGGGGCTTAGGAGGCATGCTTGATCTCTGAAAGAATAACCGTAGGATGCACAGGAGGATGGAATGGTATAATCAGAAAGAGAGAAGAGAAAAAGAGAGAGAAAGAGATGGAGGTGGGGGCAGGAGAGAGACTGAGAGAGAAACTCAGGCAGAGTGAGACCCCACTGTGCCTGCCTTGGGGGGCCTGGGCCATAAGTCCTGCAGAGGCAACTCCCTCCCCGACTACCCTGCTAACCTCAGGCCAACTCCAAGCAGCCTGCAAGATGGAAGGAGGGAACAGGCAAGGCCAGGAAGTTCTGGCTGCTCCTTGGGATGCACCCTTGGACCAGAGCCATCCCCTGCCTCCCCTCCTGGGGTACATGGATTGGGCTGTGTTAGACCTACTTTCTGGTCAGAGGCTGTTACCAGCAAAAATGTCAGGTGGTGAGGGACAGGAGACGGAGAAGAAAGAAATCTGGGAAGAGTGTGCTTAGGAAAGGGAGGTTATTATCTTAGATACTCAGTCTCAAAAAGAAGTTCCTTGGAGCCTGGCTCTGGCCTGCCCCCAGGAAGCACTCAGCTCAGAGCTGCATCCCCCTTCTAGACAGCCTCCTGCATGAGGCTGTTGGGCAGAACTGTGAGGAGAGCAGGGTGAGGGGAAGAGTAGGGAGGGTACCCCCCCCCAAACTGCCCATTCCCAGCTGTGGCAGGAAGGCAGGGAGGGTGAGGGAGAAGGCAGAGGAAGGAGGGAGATTTGAAGGCTGAAGCTGGCCAGTAGAAGAGAGGGCACTGGGAACAAAAGCTCACCTGAGGATTTATTCCGCATCAGTCGGACCTCCCGTGCTTGGACCCCGTGGGACTGCAGCTGGCCACGGATCTGTGTGGGGAGATACAGAGTGGTGCTGGCTCAGCACAAGAGGGGCTGATGTATAGTCGAGGGTGGCTGGAGGCCTCCAGGACCCCAAGGGGGGTCACTGAGGATTTGGACACACTGTTTTGTCTTCCTTGCTCAGGACTTTGCTCTGAGCAATACCTATCCCCAATACCAGCAGCACATGGTTTCAGCTTTCAGCTCTAGACTTGCAGAAAGTGACTCACATGGAGAAAGGGGCATAGTGCAAGGTAAAGGATGGCAGAGCCAGAGCGATGACCCCTGGGGGCACAGAGAACAATGAGAGCAAGCAAGCCAGCAACTCATGAATGGTGGGGGTAGGGATGATCTGACAACTGGCATGGTGGCAGTCACAAAACAAGGAAAACTGGGACACAGTTCATATCCACCTCAAGAGGATTACCCCCAAACTGTATCAAAAGAGACCCGTGACACAATTACCAAATTGGGAAGGACTGGAGTCTAAGCAAATCTTAGTTCTGTGCCCCAGATCATGACCAGAGCAGTAATTTAAGGAGCTGCTTGGGGTTTGAGACAGTTTCCTGGAGAAGTAGACCAAAGGAACGCTTCAGAGGCAAGGATTTAGACCAGGTGAGGTAGGGTCTCTAGGCCAGTGGGGCCGCTTGAGGAGGACCAGGAGCCGATGCTCCAGTTTTCTCATCAGGCTTAATAGAAAAGAGATTAATTCTGCAGGGCTATCATGAGGATGAAAACCAGAGACTCCAAGCACTCAGGGAGGGCTCCGGAATCAACAAGAATCTGGGCTCTAGGGTCCAGCTGTCCAGGTTTAGACCCCAATTCCTCTCTGCCAGTCACTGGCTGTGAGATCTAGAGCAGAGCTCCAGGTCTGCTCGGGGGGCTTGGTTTGCTCTTCTGTAGGATGCAGATACAGAGTACCTTTCATGCCGGGCCACAGAGAAGATTAAATCAGCCTGGCATGTGGCCCACCATGTGGTAAAACCTCCACAAACGACAGCGACTCTCTCTGGACAGATACAGGGGGACCAACCTTTTTGTTGGCAATGGAACGCTTTAACCACAGTGCCACCAGGGCTCTTGATCAGCCTTCAAAAGCTCTCAAACACATAGATGGAATTTTCTCTGCTACAAATTAGATAGCTGGCAATTTCAGAAAAAGCTGAAAATTCAACAGGAAGGGATAACAACAAGAATCAAGGAAGCTAGTAAGGAGGCTAGTCCAGAGGCCCTCATGGGGATTGTATGTGGATCATTATGTGGAGCTTATAAGAGAAAAAAGGGAGGAAGAGCAGAGAGAACATCATAAAGGAAAACTGGGTGGGAAGACTGTCAGCAGCCCCGGTGCCAGGTCAGTAATGAGATTTGATATACTGGCAACAGGGTGGGGAAAGAGTAAGTAAACTTCAGGAAATCCCAAAGGCACCTCCTGGGGTTGCAGGGAACCAGCATCATCTCTGCTACCAGCAGTATTCAGTACTGCAGCATGGGGCCCGGTGAGTCCTGGCCCTTGATCAGCATATGCAGAATGATGGATAACCAGTGGAATGTGCAGGAGGAATGCACATCTCCCTCCCATGCCCACAATCACCATATATTCAATATTACCACCACCTCTTGGTCAAGCTGACCTATCCGACACTCCTTCCTTCCAGACCAGGAGATGATGGGGCCTGCCCACAGAGAATGGATCAGTGCTGGGGGCAGAAGTTAGGTGGGTAAAGGGGATGGAAGGTGCTGAAGTTGGGGGCCCTGGAGGAGACCCAGTCTGGCCTCCTGCTCTGCCACCTGCCCAGGACCATGGGGGGCACGTACGTCATCCTCAGTGGCTGCCTGTGGCAGCATCCTCAGCATGACGATGTTACTGGCCTTCTCCTCCTCCTCCTCATCCTCCTCCTCCTCCTCCTCCTCCCCTTGCTCGGTCCGATAGTCCTGGTCTCGATAGTCGCCGTCTCGGGGGAAGCCTGGTGGGCCGGTGGGGCTGTGCCTGTGCCGCCGCCGCCGCCTACGCTGAGTCTCAGAGCCCGGGGAGGCCTCGTAGGAATCCTGGCCAACAGAACGAGACGAGAGACACCAGACGGGCAGTCAGTCTGGGGCAAGCCTAGGGACTGGCCGCTGGCTCTCTGAGGCAAGCAGGCTCTGAAAGCCAGGGGTGGGCGGGCTCCGGCTAAAGACAAGACAGGGTGGGTAGGCCCTGGACTACAATCCTTCTGGGGTGGAGAGGGAGGGAGAAATCGTTGGCAGTTTGGGAGGTGGTGGGAGGGGAAATGACTCCTACAGGTGGGCAGGACACCAGACACAGCTTAAGCCTCCTTTGGGGATAGCATACTAGACCCTGTCCTTTCTGTTCTTCCTCCCTCCGAAGCTTAGCTAGTGTGTGTACAGTTGTTCCACAAGCCACAAAAGGCCACTCATCTCCTATATAATTCAGCTGTGGGCATAGAAACAACTTAAAATCTCAACCAGAGTGAGCCAGCAGGAGCTGGCAAAGGTATAAGGGTCACAGACACTGTCCGTCAGTGTCTGATCCTTAGCCTGGACCAGTCCTCTATCACCACCAGTCTCCCTCAAAGCAGGGTGTGGTTGTTGGGTTCTTATTCTAAACCCCCCACCTCTAACCCTCAAGAGGAAAGGTTATTTCAGTACCCCAATCCCACTCTTTCCAATGGGTCCACCCAGTGCCCCTTGAGACAGCTGCGCCTCCTCACTTGGAGGCACAACTCAAAAGCCACTACTGGCAAAGTATGGCTGCTTTCACCCCTAATACACCTGCCAAAGCTAGTAGCCCACCATTAGGGCCCAGACACCAGACCTTCCAGAGTGGCACTTGGGCTCCCAAGGTGCCATCCCCACCCCTCCTTGATCAAGGCCCTGACTGCTCCATCAAACTGGGGTTACTCTAAGGCAAGACAAGGCTGTTTCTTCTCCTCACATGGGGGTTCCCTGGTGGTATCATCCTTACCTCTCAAGCTAAACTATCCAACATGAGGGCTATACCCCCTCAGCTCAAAGGAGAGAACTGAGGGGTCTTTCCCTCTGTCTAGGGGTTCTGTTACCACTAGGAATTCCCATGGTGGTCCTTCCCAAACTGCTCTGCTTGGTGATATCCTTATCCCCCAGTTTTCCTCCCAATCCCAGACGCCGGGTCTCATGTGAGAAACTCTTCAAGTGATCTAAATTGGCTGTATAGGGAACTGGCAATATAGATCTCGCAGTGAACCACAGGGTTCAATGAACCACTAACAGGGAAGAAGGGAAAGAGGTGGTAGCCAGGGGCTTTTGGAGGTAGAGCCAAGCATGTGGAAGCCAAATCAGGAAAGGACTCCTCGGAGAGGGGAGTGGGAACAGACCCTCCAGGTGAGACAAAGCCACCTAACACAGTCTGAAAACCTAGGAGCTGAGAGATACCTGCCACAGAGGCCCTTCAGGAGCCCCTCCCACCCAGGTGTGGCCCAGCCTCCCCTGGGCCTCACCTCTGCACTTTGTTCCTCAGAGGAGTCATCATAATCATGCTTGCCCTCCTGGCTGCCGTACTCGCGTGGATATGAGCGATAGTCCATGTCCCGGTAGTCATGGTCTCGGCTGCGGTTCTCCCCACTGTCATCTTGTGAGCGGTCAGTGGCTCCATAGCGGCCAGTCCTATCTCCACGACCACCTCTGCAGGAAGAAGGATGGGGAGGTTTTAGAGGGCAGACCTTTTCGTGAAAACGGTACAACAGGTAAAGGTGATCCCTGCCTATTCCCTCTAGGTCCTGAGTCCCACTCAACCCAAACAGGGATTTCTGAATCGTGTCTCCATACGGAGAGCCTGCTCTCCTCTCTCGTTTAATTAATTTCTTTCCATCCTTCCCCACCACTCTGGATCCAGGTGTCTGTCTTGCTTCACTGAGGCTTCAGTTGTGACCTCCTGACTAGTCTCACCTCCCCACAAGCCTCCCCCCCAGTTCATTCTTTACCATCCAAGTGCAAATGTTTATAAGGCGAAGCCAATCAAACCCAACCATAACTACTCTCTTGAATGGCTCCCTCTTATTTTCAAGAAAAAACACCAAAATGCTCACCAAGGTCCTGCAAGGTCTACAGGGTCCTATGGGGTGAGGTTCCTGCTGATCTCTCTCCCCCTCTGCCTCACCTCATTGTGCACGGTGCCACCCCTGCCCCCGTTTCACGGTCACCTTGCTAGCACTGGAAGCTGTTTTGCTAAAACTTCTCCCACTGCAATAACTGTAAAATAATTATCTCAAAGTTGATTTAATTTGCATTTCTTTGATGATTTTTAAAATACTAGATTGTGAATTCCACAAACAAATACCCTTTTGGTTCACTATCATATTCCCCAAAGCTTAGCAGAGTGCCTGGTATTCAGTAGTTATTGTCTTTTAAATAATGATAAAAATTACTATCAAGCAGGTTTTTTGTTTTTTTTTTTCCAAAGGAAAGCATGAACAAGTAAGAAAAATATATACCATGGCAGAATGCTACTAGCAGGATTCCAATACTGGTCAAGAACAATACTAGAATGAATGCCACTACCAACACTACTATTAAATGTTATTCTAAGGAACCGACTTGATGACACTTAACAAAGATACTAGTTAAAGCAATCAAACAGGAAAAAGATGTGATTCTGTAAAGATTATTCTATGGGGAAATTCTCTGTCCTAAAAGGCTGCTATGAGTTAAACTGACTGGATGGCAACGGGTGATTTTTTTTTTAATTTTTTGAAACAATTAACCAAGGGAATGAAGAAAAAGGATTAAAAGCTGGAAAGGAGAAGGTAAAATTACCACTATTTGTAGGTGATATAAGAGTATGCCTGGAAAACCTACCTAAGTGAATCAACTGAAAAATGATTACAAGTAATAAGATAAATCAAAAAGGATGCTGGGTACAAAATTAGTATGTAGAAATAAAGCCCCAAAATATTTGTTGTTGTTGTGAAACGCCGTAGAGTCGGTTCCTACCCACAGCAATAGGGTTTCTGAGGAGCAGCTGGTGAGCTTGAACTGCTGACCTTGTAGTTCAAACGGCTTTACAGTCTGACACATTAACCCACAGCCCAAAGTGTAAGTGCATAAAAAATGTTAAATGTCTAAATGTTTTGACAATACTTACAAATTTATACCAGATTACATTTGAGGCAGATTAATGGAAAAATTAAACAATTAAAGCCAATAAAGAGTAATCTATTTAGAATCTTGAAAGAGGGAAGTCCTATGACTGCAAATCCAGAAGCCATAGGAAAAAAAGTGATCAAATTCAACTATATAAAAGTAAAACACTTTTGCTTGAAAAAAGCCTAAAGTCATAAGCTAAGTAAAAAAATAAACAATAAGCTAGGAAGACATATGGGGAAAGAACATGAACAGAATTAAAAAAGAATTACACATGATTTGTACTTGAAAACTTTCTTTCTCACTCATGATGAAAGATGAAAATTAAACTATCCTTACAGACTATCAAAAAAGTTTTATTTAAAAATAATTCTAGATTTATAGAAACGTTCAAAGACAGTACATAATTTCCATATGCCCGTCACCCAACTTCCCCTAATATTAACAAAATTATGGCACAATCATCAAAACTAAGAAATGAACTAAAGCACAAACTGTTTTGGGTTTTCATTCAGCTTTTCCACTAAAGTCCTTTCTTTTTTTTAATTCCAGGATCCAGTCTACTTCCCTGAGATAATCTTTGAGCCTCAAACCGAAACTACTCTATGAAGTCATCTTTAAACTAAATAGTTTAGCTCAACTAATAAATAATGTTTGCCTTGAGGATTGTGCTTTTTAAAAGAATTTTCTATATGAGATCATATTGACAAACAATAACCCTAAAACATAGAGGAGAAGTTTAGAGGGCAAAGAGTTTAAGTTAATGGTGAATCAATACGAGTACAGATCACAAAAATGGTGACATAATGCAAAGAATTGTAACCAATGTCACTGAACCGCACATGCAGAAAATGTTGAATGAATTCGATATGCCTTGCTATGTATATTTTTGGAGTCCTGGTGTGGTGCTACAGGTAATGTGCTGTACTGCAAAGTCATTTGAACCACAAGGTCGACAGTTCAAATTTACCAGCCACTCCTCGGAAACCCTATACAGATTCACAACTGACTCGACAATACTTAACAGCAACAATGTATATTTTTACGAAAATTACCATAACAAACATGTGATAAAACCAAGTATGGTAAAATGTTATTGGCAGGGGTAAGATAGATACACAGGTGTTCACTGTAAAATTCTTTCAACTTTGCTGTATGTTTGAAATGTTTTCATAATATAGTATTGAAAAATAATATAAAGTTAAAAGATAAATCACAAATGTGGAAAATATTTGCAACTCATTTTAAAGATAAGAGAGTAATTCCCTTAATTAGTAGAGTTCTTACAAGTCAATAAAGAAAAAACCAACAATCCAAATAAAATGGGAAAAAGGCTATGAACAGTTCAAAGAAAAGGAAACATATGTTGTCCCAATAGCATTATTAAAGAAATACAAATTAAAAAAAATTTTTTTCACCTAGATTGAAAAAAAGAAAATTAATTTGATTTTAGATTGTATTGACAAAGGTGTGGGATAGGCAGCTCTCTCAAATCATAGGGTATGAAATAGACACAGGATAGTTTGGGTGCTGGGGAGGGGGGCAACACACAGGAAGGGGAGGGGAATGGAAGAACAAGGCGGATGGGAGAACAAGTAGGCAGGTTTGCATGAGCTAAGTGGGACAGAGGTAAATAATGATGTATGCACAACCTTGGAATAACAGGGCTCTGGGATACAGGGATTGAGGCATGGTTGGAATGGGCAAAACGGGGGAAATAATGTTAAGATGCTTGGCTGCCTTTTGAATGTTGGTTTCCCTTGCATACCATTATAAAATAAGACACTTTAGGGGGAGAGAAAGGAACAGCCAGAAATATCACCATGGAAAGCTTGTAAGTCCGTCTTCTGCCTATAACTGATTGGCATACCTAAAATAGGGATACAACTTGCCCAGTGATGGAGGCTTCCTGCGGAGCCTCTGCATTCCATAAGACCATAGGTGGAATCCTGAACCCCATCCAGAATCTTTTGAAGTGGGAAATTTCCACTTGAAAGGACAAGCAGACCAGCCTGAAGCTGCTAGAAGAACAGAAGATACATCTTTCTTTCAAGACTGACAGGAAAAATACAAAACAATATAAGCAATCTGACTGATTACTACAAGAACAAGCAAGTTGCCCACCCAGGAGACATCAAGGCAAGCAGTCGGGTCCCCTCAGGGCAAACCTCCTTCCAAGTCTAAGACTCAATGGGAATACACGAGCAGACATGTGCTCTGACTGGTGAACACGCTGGTCACCGATAAGGGGAAGTGAGGGAAAAACATCAATGAAGCTGCGAGCTAAGTCCAACCACGTTCAATACACTCCTGTGAATCCGGGTGGAGACCTGGTTGGCCAGCAGTTTGGCAAGACCTAGGGACTCCTGGACCCAGAGTCAGTGACATAGCCACGGAGGTCCAGAGTGGAGAATGAAGCTTCCAGCTGATAAGAAGAGAGGGCATATATATATGCACAAGAACACCCACACTTGACCTGGCTTCAATAGCTGTATGATCAGAGCTCAACTGGAAGAAAGAAGAGGAAAAAAAAAGAGTAATCTGATACAATTTGATGAACTTGACCTACAATTATGGATGCAGTAGCTCAAAAAAAAGGAATTAATCTTTACAGCGAGGATCAGTCCCACCTCCTCGATACAGAGGATAGATAAGGATGGGCAACTTGGACATTCGATACCCAAAATGGGGGGGCTACAAAGGTAAGAAGTGACTGGCTTACAAGCTTTCAAGAGGGAGCCTAAATCCAGAGGGCACGAAGGAAGATAGAATCTCCACTGAGTAGTATTCAATCTGTCTGGGTGGGACTGATGAAAGGAGACGGGGATAGCATTCATGTGGTACAATAGTGAATAATTGTTATCAGGACTGACTGTGAGGGTTGGAAATGTAAAGGTACATGTTTTGTAGCAAAAGGAGGGGAGTGGTTGACTTTGCAGTCCAGGAGCTGAGGTCCCTGGGACCATCAATGGAGAAGAATGGAGTGTGGGACCCTACCCAGAGACACAGTGACGCCAGAGATGGAGGCAGAGACGATGGCTCCAAGAGATACAGAGATGGAGCTGCTGGGGACTCTAGCCCTGAGAGGGAGGGGGGAGGGGCTGTGTGCTGACAACCAGGGGGGGCAGGCTTGGTTGATGATGCATGGAGGGGATTCTAACCATGGCAGTGTAAAAATATATGATAGGATGAATGTAAGCTAATGTTCTCCCATGTAAACTATCACATAATTCACAGTAAAACATTTAAAAAAAATCCTTTTGGAGAAAATGTGTCAATCTTGATAAAAAACATAAATGTACATATCCCTTGACCAGGTAACCACTCTTCTAGAGATTTGTCCTATAAATACATTCCAATATGCATACAAAGACACTCAATACAGTGCTGCTTGCAGTAGCAAAATACTGATAATGCCCACATGAATTTTTAGGCCACTGTTTATTACATTAAAATGTGATCATACTATATTATAACCTAGTTCTTCTCTGGAAGATAATCATAAAAATCTTTGCAGATCATTACACATGTCTTCTACAATA